TCCCTGTGGCCGGGAGCTCTCCCTTTGGCCAGAGGTTTGGCTGGCAGCTGGCAGGATCCAGCTGCCGAGTGGAGAGGAAGCAGCCCTGCCTGTTCCCACTCCAGAGCAGCACGGAGGGGGTGGCTGTGTGGCAGGATCACAGCGTGCCCGTGGGCAGATCCGCCGCCTCGCCAGGGAGACGGTGACAGTGGGAATCCGGAGTCAGTGGAGCTGCCGCCCTGCCTGGCAGCCATGGGCCCTGCCCAGCGGGCCCAGTGGCATCATCCTTGGATGGAGCCTTCCAAAAACCTCACCGCCCATTTTTCCTGCTGTGTTGGTGCCGGGGTTGTCAGGGAGTGAGGCTTTGGCTGGCAGAGGGCAGAGCACGGCTGGTGAGCAGATGCGGGAGGCAGCGGGTGAGGTTGCCAAGCCCTGGCCTCTCCCAGGGCACCCCAGTGGTGCCGGTGGGAGGGAGCCGAGCCGTGCCACGGGAGTGTCGGCTGTCACCCCTCGGAAGGCAGTGGCAGCAGGCTGGGACAGGCTCCTCAGGGATCACCAGCCCGGGGAGCTGGCTCGGGTCATGGGAGCAGCCCAGACTCCAGGCGTGTGGGGGAGGCAAGACTGTGCTTGGGGACTAAATGTGCTTGATCCGGGGTCGTTGAGCAACGAGCAGGTCCTCGAGCTCCCCGGGACTGCGGGGGGCTGTGTGAGGAGTGTCTTGTGGTGCGTTCTGGGCACGATTCCCTTTCTTCCACGAATCCTCTGGGAAGTTACTGGTGTGTTCTGGCAAGCGCGGGGAACCCGGCTGTGCTGGGAGCTGCCCAAGCAGCCAGGCCTGCTCAGAGCTCCGGGCAGACAGATTATTATCTTGATTTAACATCTGACAGCTCCCATCCTGCGCTCGCCGAGAGGCCAGCGCGGGCTGCGAGCACAATCGATCAGGGGTCGGTCGCGGCATCCTCTGTCTCAGCCCAGACCATCCCGCCGTCCCCTTCCTCCTTTTGCATTCCAAACCCAAACCACTCATCCCTTCATGGCGAGGATGTGCCGCTGGCTCTGACCCGCGCTCCGAGAGGAGCCTGAAATGGCTCCGGGAGCGCATCCACCACAGCCCAAGGAAGGAGAGCAAGGACCCGGCAGAGCAAAGGGCTGCAGGAGGGCCGGGAAGAGGAGCGAGGAGCCGGCGGCTCCCACACGTCCTCTCCCCTCCCGGCTCTGCTTCAGCTTCCCTTGGACTCTGCACAAGCAAGCCCTGACCCGAGAATGGCTGCAGTTTGTGCTCTCTGCTGAAATGTATTTGAAATGCCACTCTCCAGGACCATTTCTGAAGCAATTTGCTGTTCAGCCTGGCTGGGAAGAGCCCTGGGCAGGCTCGTTCATTCAGCGCCTGCGATATTGACTCTTCTCTTTACTGCAGGATTAGAGAGCATTTGTCATCTCCAAAATGAATAACTTTTCCTCTCCTGGGAGGGGGGAGAAGGTTTGCCTCAGTACTGACATTTCACACACCCAGCCCACAAACCTGCTTCGAATCCCAGATGATGCTCTGGGAATAAAACCAGGGGCTTCAGTGTCTCTGCTCCACCAGTAGAGCAGGGCCCACCAGCCCCCTGAGCCTCCCCTCACCCTAAACCTACAGTCCAGGGGGACAGGAGTCTGGAGAAGCTTCCACCTGTGCCAGGTACCAGCTCCATTGTTGTGTTACTGACACAGAACCCGACACAAACTGCAGGGCTTTGTAAAGTCCCTCAGGGACAAGCCACAGAGGCACTTTAAAAAGAAAAGAAAACTAAAAAAAAAAAAAAAAAATCCCCCAAATCAGAGCAAACCATCCAGCAGCACCAGAATAAGAAGGCAGAAGCTCAGACTTGCCAACTCATTGTCTAGAGCCCGACCAGCTCTCCCTCCTGTCCTGGAGATCACAGTGTTTAACTCACATCACCCCGTGTGCCTCTGTCTTTTGAGCTTCCAGAGGTGTTTTCAGGCCTTTCTCAGGAGGTTCAGGAACCAGCAGCACTTTCCCATGGGAATTTCAGCCTTTGTTAGCAGAACTGCATTCTCAGGAATGAAAGCAAAGAGAAACAAACTCCAGCTGTTGCAAGATTTGGAAGAGCAGAGCCAGGAGCATTGCCAGCAGCAACTTTTCCGAGGGGCTGCACCACCAAAGCACAAACCAAGGCATTGCTGTATGGCTTTGGAAACCCCCTTGATGGAGAGGAGCAGGAAATCCAGCCCGGGTGGGATACAGCCTGCCTTCCATGGGAGCAGCTGCCACGGACAAAGCACCTGCCCCTTCTCCTGGGACAGGTGAACCACAGAGCTCAGCCTCCAGGTACAGCAGAACACACAGAGCCCGACAGGAGCAGCCAGACCCACCTGAGCCGTGGAGCTGAGCAGAGCCAGGGGATGCAGGATGAGATCCTGGACATGGTGGGTGCTGGAAAAGTGTCCCCTCTCCGTAATCCTGCACCTGAGGATGGTGGTGGCCAGGAGCTCTGGGAAAGGACCTGGAGGCTTTGAAGAGCAGACTGTTCTCCAGGCTGTAATTACCCACTCGCTTCCCCCACCCCTGATTATGCAGATGAGGGCAATGGCAGAACCCACCAGGCTGCCGGGGAGGGAAGAGGCTGCACCGGTCCTGCCCCTGCAGCACCAGGGTCCCCAGGGACCTCCTGCCACCCTGGAGGGGTCCCAGCCCTCCCTGGCTGGGTCAGCACGTGGCACTGGCTGTTCTGTCTGCATGAGCAAGACCAAGGCAGAGTCTGGAGAGGGATTTGCTGGGGGTCAGGGCTGTTACAAGATTAATTATTTCGTTGGTTGGAGTCAGCTCAGCAAACAAGGCTATGACGGTGGGAACACCTGGTTGCTACCAGCCCATCACCAGCCAGTCTTTTCCCAAAGGACCACACTGCACCATCTGGGAATTTCAGCCCTTTGCAGGAAACCACAATCACATTCCAGCTCCTTTGGAAGGTACTTTCAGTGCTGCTTCAGGGACAGTTCTGGATCCCAACCCTCGGATGCCCTGCCTGGTGCTGGGGAGCACCTGTGGTGACAAGGCAGCCGGGACAGGCCCCAGCACCCCGAGGGTGCTGGTGTGACCCCCCAGCCTGTGCCACCACTCAGAAGCTCCAACCAGGGAACATGGGAGACGATGTGGGGTCTGTACTGCACATGAGATGGTCCAGCCTGGCTGTGCTGGTGCAGCTCCTGCAGCAGAGGCTGAAGGAGGCAGTCGGTGCCTCTTCCAGTGCCAGGAGCCTGTTGTGCCACCGGCCTCCCCAGGTACTGCAGGTGGCACAGCCAGGGCTGGGCTGTCTGTGTCCCTTATTTGATCTTCAGATATTTTCCTCTTTTTTTTTTTTGCACCCAGCAACAGCTGGGAAGAGGCTTTTCACTCCTCTCTCTCTCTCTCTGCTTTAGCACAATGACGGGGACTGCTGCATGAAGAGCAACAGCGTTGGATTGCAGCGGGATAACACGGGTGTGCTGAGAAAGGCAAATGGAGTTTTGTGGGAGCAAAACAGCAGGCTTTGGGCAAGGCTTTGTCTGAGCTGGGGCCAGGCAGGGGGTGCAGCTTTGGGGCCAGATGAAGGCTCACACAGCCTGGTGGGAGCTCCCGGTCTCAGCCGAAGGCGCCGCACCCAGCAGGAGCCGCTGCCAGCCCAGGCAGACGAGGCCCCTTTCATTCCCAGCTCCCTGCACGCCAGCAGCTGCTCAGCCTGGTGTGTGTGGGCAGGAGCGTGGCTCTGTCACATGCCTGAGACAGCACATCACAGTCAGTGGCATCCCAGGCAGCTCCCGCTGCGAGCGCCGCGGAACACGGGAAGGGACACTGGCACCTGCCCCTCTCCCTTGGTGGCCTTCCCCCGGTGTCTGGGCAGCATCCTGAGCCACCAGGCATGTGTGCTGGGAGCACAGCAGCCTTATCTCGCCTAAATAATGAGCTCCTCTCCAAAGCATTCACTCACTCTGACCAAGAGCTGCTCAGCATCGAGCAGAAGCCGTGCTGCTGCTGTCAGCCATCCGGAGCCCTGGGGAGATAACTGGCATGGAACAGGTTGCACGGGGAAGCTGTGGCTGCCCCATCCCTGAAGTGTCCAAGGCCAGGTTGGATGGGGCTTGGAGCAACCTGGGCTAGTGGAAGGTGTCCCTGCCCATGGCAGGGGGTGGGACTGGATGGGCTTCAAGGGGCTGTGCCGGCGGTGCCAGGAGTGGGGGGTGGTGCTGGGAGTGGGTGGCACGCGGGTGTTTGGTGCCAGCCTGGTGGCCCCAGAGTTTGCAGAGCAAGCCCAGCCTGTCACATGCAAATATCTGGATAAGTTGCTGCCTGCTAACAGGAAGCACTGTATGGAAAGCAGCAAAGCCCTTCCCAAACTACCCTTGGAGTGCTCCAGGTGCCCCTGGGAGCAGCTGGAGAGTCTGCCTTGCACAGAGCTGGTTTGGGGCAGGCGCTGCTCTCGCTCTGCCGGGGTCCAGCAGCATCTCCCAGCTGCTTCACCTCCACTCTGGGGGCTTGTGGTGCTTCTGGTCTGGCAGAATGAAAAGGCGATGTTGCCCCATCCTCCACTTTCCAGGAGTGGAATGCTGTGGCTCTGGCACCAGCTCTGCCCCTTCCTGTTCACCCCGTACTTCCAGCAGTGCCTCAGGAACAGGAGCAGGAGCTCCCCACCAGGTGGCTTTGGACACCATCAGAAGGATGCAGAGGTGTGTCTGGAATTTAGCACCTGGGCAGATGCTAAAAGAGACATTAGAGCAAATTAATTACTTAAACTATTTAATATTTTTCTGAGCCATGATTTTTGTGCCAGGCTCAGATTCCTCTGGGCCTGCCATGACTGTGAGTGCTGTGTTGGCAGGAATTGGTGACATTACAGTGTCGGCAGCAAGTGCCCTCCCAAGGCCTCTGTCTGCCCCACGACCAGCAGGGAACAGTGATCCTCCCCCCCAGTTCTTGGACAGCCACCTAAATCAGGTCCAGTGCAGATCCCAGTAAAATTCATGCTCTCTTCTCTCCCCAGGTCAGCACTGGACACACTCTGTGAGCCATCCCATCAGCACCCCACGACATCCCGGTACCGACCCCTGATTTGGAGCAGGACAGGTTGTGACCAAGCGTAAGTGCTCCAATCCTTTGTGTTGTCAGTAAAAGCTGTTTGAGAGCAGGGATTTCCCTTGCTCAGAAGACTTTATTCCTTTACAAAAACACCCCTTTCCTTGCTGCTCTTGCTGGGTGACTGTGTTGGGGTGTCCACGGGGGAAGCTGTGTGTTCACAGCTGCAGCAACGAGGAGCTCTTGCTCCTTGTTGGGGCAGGAGCTCTTGCAGCTCTTTGGGCCCACGGCTTCCGGAGCTGCTCAAGTAGGTGCCAGCAGGGAAGAGCCACAGAAGAGGCCTCATTATGCTCATTAAGTTCCTGCACCACAGAGCCAAAACTCCGCTGGAGCAGCCACTGTTGGGTCCTGCTGGTGCTTCCCAGAGCATGGGATGTGGGCAGACACTGGGGAAGCCATAGCTGGGGTCTCTCAGCCCTTTGAGGACCCTCTAACATAATTAGAGTGAACTGCTGGAGGGACAAATCTGACTGCCCCAAGGTGCTGAGCATCCCCCAGCTCCTCTCCAGCAGTGCCAGTGACACGGGTGGGCTCAGAGGTCCCTGGGCAGGGCAGGGCCTCTCCAGCCTGCACAGACCAGAGCCTCTCCCACGGCCCATCTGCAGCTGGAGAACTCACAGACTGGCAAATTATTAATGCTCCAGGGCTCATCCCCTTGGTTGTAGTTTCCCTACTGGCTTTGGAAAGGCCCTAAAAGAGCAGGGGCAATCAGAGCAGGGGCTGTCCCGGGGCGATCCCAAGCCTTTGGGGCACTCGTCTCTCTCCAAAGCATTAGTGAGGCGTTAAAGCAGCAGCAGAGCCTCCCCTGTCCCAGCCTCTGCTTGGGTTTTACTCTCAGCTTCTGACATAACCAGGTCACTCTTTCCACACTTCCCCTGCTTCGATGAGAGCCGGTGAGTGATCGGGATGGACGTGACTCACCGCCTTTCCTAATGAGCGACTTTCCTCTGTTTATGTGCTTTGGCGGGGCCTTTGGTACACCTAAAAAAGGAGAAGGGTGGCACTGGGGAGAGGGCAGGGTGCTGTAAATTACTGGCATCTGCTGTTCCTCACCATCCCTCTGGAATCTGGCCAGCTGTGAAGCTGCTGGGTTTGAGCATGGAAAAGGTGTAGCTCATCCTCCACGTGCTGATCCGGGTGAGATGCTGTCTGGGCCCACAGGTAAAGCCTCAATGAGTAATTGGGGCTAATTAGGCTGAGAGATTTTTTGTTGCTGTTCTGTCCAGGCGATGCCTGGGAGCCCAGTGGTGATGAGCACTGTGAAACCAGAGCCACGTTCCCCACAGAGCTCTGCCAGGCCACAGCAGGGCGAGCTGGGGTTTCCTGTTCCCTCGCCCAGACACAGCTCAGGGACGGCTGCCCCTCTCATGTGGCCTCACTTGTGTTTTGCAGTGACTAAGCAGAGGAAGCTCTCGCTGTCCTACCACCACCACCAGGCCAGACAATCCTTCCCTTGGCTGAAGATCCCGTTGAACCTCTTCCCATAATGGAAGCGTGAGTGCCAAGATCCTCCATGACCTCCAGAAGCCACAACTCCTTACCGAGAACTCTGATGGCTCCACGAATGCTTTCCGAAGGTGCCCTGGGGGGCATCGCCCAAATCACCCCCTCGCTGTACCTGAGCCGGGGCAGCGTCGCCTCCAACCGGCACCTGCTGCTCTCCCGGGGCATCACCTGCATCATCAACGCCACCATCGAGATCCCCAACTTCAACTGGCCCCAGTTCGAATACGTCAAAGTGCCTTTGGCTGACATGCCCAACGCCCCCATCTCCCTGTACTTCGACAGCGTGGCCGACAAGATCAACAGCGTGGCGCGGAAACACGGGGCCACGCTGGTGCACTGCGCCGCCGGCGTCAGCAGGTCGGCCACGCTCTGCATCGCCTTCCTCATGAAGTACCACAAGGTCTCCCTCTTCGAGGCCTACAACTGGGTCAAGTCCCGGCGCCCCGTCATACGGCCCAACGTGGGCTTCTGGAGGCAGCTGATAGACTACGAGAGGAAGCTCTTCGGGAAGACGACGGTTAAAATGGTACAGACGCCCTACGGCATCATCCCAGACGTTTATGAGAGAGAGAGGAGACCCCTGATGCCTTACTGGGGAATTTAATGGGACTGCAGACAGGAAGCACAACAGAAGGGATGCGCTATTCTGAGACAACCAGACTGGAGACGTTCCCTTCTTCTTCTACAGCCAACTCTGATTCTTTACCATACAGCAGAACCTCAATTCTCACCTCACTAACCTGCAAGGCCAACGACTCCCTTCAAAGCATTTCTCTCTATGGGGATTTCCCATCTGCATCTCTCTCATTTAGCAGAACCAGGTCTCCTTATGAGTTTATTCCTTCCATAAAGCCTCCCTCCTTTTTTAGTCAGTTTATTAGGGTCCTCCAAGGAAAGGCCTAAGAGGCATTTGGCAGAGTTGATGAGCCAAGTGCGCTTTGTGACGCGGTAGTAGCCTGGATATTTCGTTATAGCTTGTTTGCTTCCCTGCAAAACCCTGTAGTGGCTCGGGAGCAGCACTAGCACAGAGTGAACAAGGCCCTGCTCCACGGCAGCGGGTTTTCCAAGCACCAGGAAGTCTGGAATACAGGGCTGTGGTGCTAGTGCTGGTGTTTTCTTTAACATCCATAGTGACTCTCAGTATATAGTGTTTGAGATCTTTAGTCAGCTCTTAATTGTATTCAAAGTTAGAAAAAAAAAAAAAGAAAAAAAGTGAATCAGTCCGTGTCAGCCACAAGGAAAATAAAATTTGAACGATTCAAATCAAATAAATACAAGATCCTTTTTAACTCATTCCACGCCGGGGCAATAGTCCTGGAATACACTTCAACTACTGGAAAATGCTGGTGTGTTTTGCGGGTGGAAAGTCGACAGATCCTGTCCAGATGTGGCTCAAGACAGAAGCAAGAGGGTTGAACCCGCTGGACAACCAAAGAGACGTTCAGGAATCCGTGCACGGCCCCCTGCCCGAGGGGCTGGGCCGTGTGTGTGAACATTCCAGCAACCACTCCGTTGGAAGTTGGTAAATCCGCTTGATTCTCCAGCTCCGCGCCCGGTCATGATCTGCCTTAGTCCATTTCCGAATCACTCCATTCCGTCCTCAAGGTTATGCTGCATTCTGGGATTATTCCGCGCCAACGGATCTGTCCACCCTCCCGGCCGGGCACAGAGGCTCTGCCTCGTGCTGTGCGTGCCGGGAGTGATTCCAACCCCAGCCTTTCCGTGGGAGAAGCCTTCCTGCAGCTCCCACCCATCGCTCCCCTCCCGGCAGGGAAGGGACTGGTTTCCCTGGAGCGTCACGGGAACCCAGGAGAGCCCCATTCCTGAGGAGACACTGGTGTCCCCTGCCCCGGGAGGAGGAGCAGGCAGATTGCTGGATGCCGCGATCGCTGATTTAAATGAGATTCTATACTTGTAAAAAAAAAAAAAAAAATCAATAAAGATCAAACCAGAACATGTGTTGGTTTCCTGTTCCGAGCGGCGCTAATGGAGCTCTGGGAGCAGCGGGAACACGGCGTGGGGTGGAGCAGCGGCTTTGGGCAGAGCTGGACCCGAGCCTTGAGGAAAACACTGCGAGCTGTTCCCAGCACTCGGCTCCCCACCTCACAATCCATCCTGCCATTCCTGCTGCTCCTCCCAGCAGCCGGGCAGTCCCTCGGGCTGGTGCACTCTTTGCACCTCCCCGAGTCCCGGTGGGCAGCCGAGGTTCTGAGGAGCAGCAGGCCTGGCTGAAGGGCTCTCCCAGCTGGACTGTGCTGTGTCAGGGTGGCACGACCGGGTCCTTGGTTTCCCCAGACTGAAAGTCATGAGGGCTGAAATAAATACTGATAAAGCCAACACAAAACTGTTCAAATGGCCTCAACCTCCCTGGGCTCAGGAGTAAAACCAGAGCTGGCTGGAACAGAAGTCTAGATCAGAGTGAATTTGCCACAGAGGCTTTGACCTGTATCTCTGACCCAGAATCTTCCCATTTACTGGAGACCCCAGAGCAAACACCAGTGGCTGAGACTCACCCAGGGAAGGATGTGGAGCTCTGTGGTTCCCAGACTCCAGGAGGTCCAGTGAGGATGCGGGAAGTTCACAGACTCCAAGTGAGGCCAGAGGGCACTGGCTGGGGGGTGGTGGCAGGACAGAGCTCTCAGCCCCTGTGGGAGTCCCTCCAACTGTGTTAACCCCGTGGAGATGTCCCTGTGAAAAGTCACTGCTCGTTCCTCACCCTTCCACGGGCATCCAAAGCCACTGTTCCCTGAATGCAGGGATGTATTGCCCCCACTCCCTTGCAAACCCACCTTTGATCCTTTATCCTGGATGCACATAGTCAAAACAGCCAGAAACCCCCCCAATAGTCACAACACTGGTTTTTCCAACAATATCCACACAGGGATCTTGGTGTCTTTCACCACCACGAGGACAGGAGAGTTTTCCTCCTGCTTTTCCCAGATGAGTTTTGTCCCACTGAAATAAAGGCGAGGTTTGCCATCAGCTGCTCCCAGTTCAGGTTCCATGGCTGTGTCCCAGTTCCAGAGACAGACACAGGAGACTGATGTCCACTTAAAAAAATGAATTTTACTCATCTCCCTGTTTTAATCATGAATTAAAACTGCAGCCAGGGAAATGGTAAGAAAGGAACTAGAGAGTAAAAATCAAGATTAATTGTTAATTTGGAGACATTCCAATACATTACATTTTAAGGGGGAAAAAAATAACTAAAAACTCAAATCTGCTCACAAAATCAAACCTTACCCAAAAAGTGGTCAGTGTGTAATTTTAACAGTATTTTTTATGTAAAAACTGAAGGTAAAAATTCTCCACTGTGAATTATTTCATAATTCCACTGCGTGAGTACTGAGGGGAGGGAAAATGCTGATGTTCAGCCAAGAAGGCACCAAAGGCTGATTTTTAAACACAAGGGAAACTTAGACCTATAAAAAAATGAAATTGCCTGATAAAGCACATCAGGAAACAAAGAATTCACCTGAAATCCCCACTCAAGGTTATATTACAGTGTTAATGCTTGTGGGTATTTCTTTGCAAAAGCTCCTCTTGTGTTCACTCCAACAAAAAAGATTTTGTATGAGTGTTTTCCCCCTCAAAATCCAGTTTTTCCATCCTTAAATCGATAGAAACCAAAGAAGAGAGAGAGCCACAGCTCAGCTTGGATTGCTGCAAGCACACCCACTGGATTTGAGGGGAACATCCCTCTTCCTGCTCCCCAGGGGCTTTTCCAAATGGTGTCTCAATTGCTTAAAAAATATTTTATATTCTTCAGTATTTGGTGAGGCACTTTCCACATCCCAGCCACAAAGCAGGTTTCACTTACATTATGATATAAATATTTCAGTTTCCCAGGCTGGTCAGATACAAAATGAGCTCTTTATTGAACACAAGGTTTGAATCTCAACACAGGATTTATAAATCATTGCAGGAATCAAGGGAGTAAACAAGGTACTAAAGTCAATTAATAACACTTATTCTCATGGGATTTAAAATACCAGCAGTGACTCCAGCATAGAATAAACCCAAACAGCTCTGACTAATAATCACAAAACCACTTCTGGAAGAGAAATAATGTTTGCCCAGAGGCAGGAGAAGAATTACAATACAAAGTGAAGTTTTCTGATCACTTCACAGAATTACGACATTCATATTTTAACACTGAGAACTGGAATTAAATGCAGGTCCAAAATTAAAAATAAACCTGAAGCAGCAGTTTGTACAACAGCAGCTTTTATTGGAAAGGCAGGTTTTGCTTCAAGTTTAATTAATTCCCAGTGTAGCTGAGGAACTCTGAGCATTCCAAGGGTTTCCATGAGCTCTGCTCCACCTGAGCCTGAACGTCACTCACCCACAAACCCTGCACAGACTTCAGGGAAGGAGCTGCTGAGACCAAACCCAGAAAAGAAAAGCTGCTGCCAGGGAGGGAAAGACATTGGAATGGTCAGTGCATGAGGTGACAATTCCCAGGCCACAGGTGACCTCTGAGGTGGGCAGGTACCCAGGAATTCACACCCAAGCACGGAGATGGAGGGGCAGGGAAGGGGCTGGAGCAGCCCCCAGCACTCCCAGCACCAGGGAAAAGCTGCCACCATGGAAGCACCAGGGATACAATGGGGAAAAGCCATAAATACATTAAATAACCAGGCTAATAGTCCCTTAGAACTCCAAATATACAGAAGGAGACAGAAAACCCACTTTCCACAGGTACCCACTTTCCAAGGCAGCTCCAGAAAACACAGACATTAAAAAACCAAAGAAAAATCCTGTTTCTCTTCTCCAGTGACAGAATCCATGCAGGAAAAGGAGTCACAGGTCTGAAATTGCACAGAGCCAAAGCAGAGGCAGCGTGTCCGGGTGCCCGTGCACAGGAGGGGTGGGGGAAGGTGAGCTGGGACAATCCTGTCACCTTGGATACAGCTTGGAAGGACACTGGGCTTTGGCTGGCAGCAACATCCGAGAGGATGCTCCAGGGAGTCAGTGGGATGACTGGGATCAGGGAGCTGATCCTCGCTCTGCAGTGCCTTTATGGGGGGACCTCCATGCAAACATTCCATGTGTTCCCACGACAGGAAGGTGTTGGGAACAGAACACTTCCTGCTTCCACAGAGGCAGGGACAGTGCCTGTGCTGCCCCTTCCGTGGGAGCAGGAGAGCAGCAGTGTCATCCCTCAGTGAGCTCTGCTGCAACTGGAATCACAGACACCCATTCCTTATTTTTATGGGCCAAAAGACACGACGGACACAGCTCAGGGAGGGGACTGGCCTGGTAACAAGCACAGGAAAACCACCACTGAGAGATGCTTCTGTGACAACACAGCTGGTGATTTAAGTTTCACACTGTGGCCTCTTATTTGTGGTATCCTCTTTTAATTAGGGGAAAAAAAAAAATCCCATCTAGCCAAGGGAAAGGATGTGGGCAGTCCCTGTCACACTGTGGAAAATCTGCTGCTGGATTAGCCGGAGTTTGCGACTGGAGGCACACGTTGCTTTATTTTGTGAATGAGTTAATTTGAGGCTGCAAGATTTACTGTAATTGGTGTAAATGAGGAGCCAGACACCTCCGAGCCAAGATTCTTTCATTTGGGCTAATTAATAGTTTAGTATAACTAAGCTTGTTTGTTTTTTTTAAATACAAAGCATCGTTTTCCTCACTGTGATCTCTGTTTGGGCAAATAACCACAGGCCAGGGTCAGGTACTTATAATGGAGGCAAGATTAACTTGGAAAAGCTGTTGATATCTCTGGGGAGGAGGGAGAGATCTGAGGAATTTAAGTCAAAGAATTAAGGAGAAAGTTGTCCCCGATGGATTTACACCCCCCTGCATTCCCTGCAGACCCAGACTGGATAGTGGTAAGTCTCTTATAATGCAATGAAGCTCCCACTTGGTTTGAAATCCTGTAATAGCACTGCACTGTCCCCTGGATATTGGATCTGAAGGAAGAATCAGGTACTTTAGGTGTTACAGGTAACATTTTGTGACAGAATAATACAAACCTCCTATTCAGAGAGGTGAGTACCTGCCATAAACCACAAACCAGCAGGGAGACAACACCCTGCCCCAAACACCAGCTTGCTAAGACCCCCAGCTTCCAGTGTTAAATCCCTTTGGGTGTTAAATCCCACTCCCTGTCACAGGAGCCAAGGGCCCCCTCGTGCTGCCAGCTCTGAGTCACAGAAACACGTTACTACAGGTAGCACCAGACTGCACGAGCTACA